AGTCTGTGCTTCTACCACGCGTTAAGAAGACTTACTTCTACTACATGACATTGATAAAGTGTTCTTTCCCGAAGAAGTTTCATGCGAAAGCGTGGCTATGTGGAAGAGCGCCTGCTTGCCACACAGACAGCCTGCGTTTGATTCTCAGTTTCTCTTACTCGAACCGAATATTTTGATTATTTACTTTATCTGCATCTTTTTACATTTTTCAATCACGGACAGGGTGACGATTTTTCGCTCAAAACCAATGATGTCAACGCCATGATTTCCACGAAAAGAGTTCATTGATGCTAACGCAGCTCATTGAACCTGACACAGTCAACGACCGGACAGCCTCGATCCCGCCCTGTGCAAACTCAACGGCGACGTATAGATAACATACTCTTATACATCCGCATACATACACTGCACTCGCACGTGGAAAACTCGGGTCGCGTTTCGCTGTGTTTTACTTATCTTGCTTTACGAGTACAGACAACAAAGATAGCGGGCAGTGACACAAAGAGGAGTGAAGTATTAGGTGCGAAGTGGCTTACTAGGCTTGGCGCCGCCTTCTGTCGTCACAGTGTGCCACGCAGTCACGGTTCGTCATAAAAACGGGTATTCACCACAATAGGTGAATTCCACCACTCACCACCGGTCCACTAAACCATAGAGTTTCTCAATATTAACTAGAGGGCACTGTGGCGCTGCGATCGTTCAGCGACCATGGGAATGATGGGTAGTACACACATTTGCCTAGTCATCGTACTTATATATACGGGCGGCGAATCGTACTTGTGGCTTCGTTTATTGCTGATTACGGTTTTGTTTTGAAAGAAAGAACAAACCCTTTTGAACTTAGTGACTTGATTCGAAATATTAAGCCTAAAAAAATAAGGTTGTGAAGCGCAAACGGTGAACATTTGCTAATTTATGTTTTCGTGAAAAAACAGCTCCAAGCCACACGAACACACTCGGAGCCAGAAGCAGGCCAGAAGTACGAAGATTAGACAAATGTGTGTACTACCCATCATTCCCATGCTCGCTGAAGCGCCATGTGTTGCAGCTCCCATAGACACTAGCGCCAGAGTTCCCTCTAGTGTATATTAAGAAACTCTATGCACTAAACCTATTAGGGCAACAGTCAGCCCAACAAATATGCGACGATGTTATCGGAGCAGGAATGCCCTTCCTTACGTGCCGTGGGGAACTGAAATCGAGCATGTAGAGAAGAATGAGCACTTTATATAGGGTAAGCTGCATTCGAACGTAGTTTTCCGACGACGTTATTGGAGCGGAAACACCCTTCCTTAAGTGCCCGTTTTCAAGCTTGGCACCACCTATAGTGCCTCACCAAACAAATCTCTCAAAACCCTGCACGATCCGCCCGTACCCAGGTTTCGCGTTGTGTGACCACCTTTCCCTACACGACTACCCTTCCCTACACGACTACCCTTCCCTGCAGCTGAAACACAATTATCCATATGCTTCCCCCATCCCCGATTTTTTCGGCTTTGAGCCAAGCATCAGGCGGTTGACCAACGTGTTCGTGTAAGTGTGCAGTATAGTGTGCCCATCGTGGCTTATCAGGCACGTCGACTACACTGGCGTTTGAAGGATAACTTGTTTTAACGTGACGTCAGTACTCTCTTCCGTTAAATCGCATACGTCCGTATTATCGAAAAGAATTGCACTTTACGGTGTGATAGCGTAAATATCATCGGCAACTTTGGTTACCATATTCCTCCGTGGTCGGGAAATGCTTGAATATAGCTTTCTGAATTATATATAGGTATGCAAATGTAATACTTTTAGACTGCTATAAAAGTGGAGCCAGTGCTGGACCTACACGGTTGCCGTTAATCCGGCGTGATGTCTGTATCATAGGAATAAATAAATGTGTAGTTTATTACTTTTTTATAAAAATGGGTAATCAGCAATGACACCACAAGTGGCCTTGCACCAACATTTGCGACTGCACAGGATCTTTCTAAAAAGCACTTTAAAGACCTAGCATGGCTGTGGTAGAACACCTGACTGCCTCGCAGAACGCTTGGGGGCGATTTGCGCTGGGATCCCGGTTTTTATTCGCAATGCCCACGAACTATAGGTGGCGCGCTGTACGATTCAAGATGGCGCCCGGAGGAAGCTAAGCCCGTTTGCTAGCACAGGAACATATATCCCGCGTGGACGTGCGGACCATGTTATTTTCTCCGGTTAAAGTCGTAAGCTGCACTGAAATGTATATGAGACCAAGGTACCTGCTAAACAACGGAAGCTCGCCACCTGATTATTTGCCGCGGTGTGAAAGGTTATATTTCAGCTCTGTTACCAGGGCATGCTTCGCGAAATCCTGTGCGTACTGAAGAAAACTGCACGAACTATAATTAACGTATGAACTGAACTGCACTCCGAGGGAGTATGTACCGATCCTGCCTGACGGATTTGCCGCAGTTGTGGGCCGCTAGAGACAATATCGCCATCACCGTTGCACGGGACCGAATGTTTGTTTGACGTA